TTTGAGAGAATAGCAATTGTTTTTAAGAAAAATTTGGTACAAGTGATCGTCGGGAAGAGTTAGTGATTTGCGTCTCTGTTATTATTTTTTATAATTAGACATTTGCAAGTTAAAATTCAACGAATGGAATTAACATTCATTGTAATCTGAATCAGTGATAGGACACAATTCTTTTTTTAAATAGCTGTATTGTAAAAAAGTGTTCAATTATTATAAATAAATAAATGACATTTGATTTAAATTCATTTGCATTTGAAAGTAATTCGTCTGTTTAATCGATCTTTTCTACCAGTGTGCGAAACTAATATTACAGTTACTGCAGCAAAAGTTCAGTAATTTAATATTTTTAAAACAATTCGAGTAATCGATATAATAAAGCCATTTATTAGTAATATGCATCAAGTTACAAAAAAAAAATGTCCATTGAAAGTTTTCAAAAAATGGTAGAGATTCATGCTAAACTAAGTGAACTGGCAAATTATTTAACAAATAAACCAATTGTTCAGCTTAGTAAGGTCATAGAATTTCCACGCATTGGAAAAAAAGCTCATATGATTGAAAAAATGCTTTTAGATTCTGCTAAGAAGTCTTTCAAAGATAAACCCAAAAATGGCAACTACAAAAATGACGGCTGAGAACTACAATCTGCGTTTCATATTTTTTCTGAACTTTCAAAAAGCGAGTTTTATGATATTTATTTGGATTTCAATTATTACTTAGGGTGCTGCTACAAAGATGGGATTGGATGTATTAAAAATGAACATTGTGCTTCAACATATTTTGAAAAGGCCGTTAGTGCTGGTAGCAAAGATGCTCAAAAGGAACTAACCTACCTATACTAAAGAAGATCCCTATTTATAAACCAAAAATTAAATCTAGCAAAAGTATACTTAACGAGAGTGGGTTTACAAGCTGGGAGATATTCTGAATATGCTTTTTCAATTAAATTTATTAACTTAATACCCAGATCTTATATGTACAAACTTTTTTTTTGTAATGTATCTGGGTATTATTTAATAGACTAAAGAAAAGAGCTAATACTTAATTGAAAATTAATCTTTAATTTTATAATATAATTCCTTTGCTTCAGCATGTCCTTTTTCAGCAGCCTGTTGCAACCATCTATTAAATTGCTTAGCATATTCTTTGTTTGGGCAGTTTCTCCTTTTGCAATTCTTTGTTTATTAATACACAATGGCTGGCCGGCTTTTTTTTAAAAATTTCATATGTAAAATTTTTATAAATTTTTTTTTTTTTAAAAACCCACCCGGTTATTAAGACATATGAAAAATTTTTTTCACAAGTTTTCGAAATTTGACCCAGCCGGGTTATGAAAACCAATTAATTAAATTTGCATGGCCTAATAAAGAAAATTTTGACACGTACGTAATGATCCTGTTATGCAAAAGTATGTGTAGATAGTTTTGTATATAGTAAACTACATTTATTAGTTCAATAATTACATATTTATACATTTGGCTTAGTTGTATGTATTTAAAAGATCCTTATAGCTCGCCGTACTGAAGCAGCAATCCAATTACTCTGATAGCAAGTAAAAATAAATTAATCAAACACATTATGTTAAATAAGCATTAAAATTGAATAACAACTCACCCAGTCCGGCTAACATTCGCGCTTTTGTTTGCCTTGCATGAGCATTGTTCCCTTTTTTCACCAGTTCACCGTTCTTCAAAAGATATTCGTATACTTTTTGTTCATCATAGTTGTGAGCTCCCTCGAGCGCAGTGATATCAATATCCGAATTTATATGAACCCAGGTAAGAATCTCACTTATTTTTTGTCGACGTGAGCGTTCTTTTCTCATGACTTTATTTTCGTTTGAGGAAGACTCAGCACAAACAAAGAGCTCATCAACAGTGAACCCTTTACTTCCTTTATTCCAATAAAAAGTGACATTTTACTAATTTTACAATATCATAATTAATTCATTATGTACAAAAGAACGCCCGATGATCATGATTTAAAAAAAAAAAGTACTTAATTGGCCCCGGCGAAAATCATATATTATGAAATGCAATTGTCAAATTTTCTAATAATGATATGTGTATAAAATAAAAAATATTTGTTATTAAAATTCTTGATTTTTAACAATTTTAAAAATTGTATTTTTATATGTTTTTACTATATAAATTTTGCAAAATTTAATTGTAAATCTTACGTTATATTTAAATTTAATATTTTCTTAAAATAATATTTTTTATTTTATATAAGAGTTACGAATTAATTTTACCAAAATTATGTTTACCAGAGTTATGAATTAATTCTCCAAAATTATGCTTACCAGAGTTATGAATTAATCCTCCAAAATCATGTTTACCAGAGTTACGAAATAACTCTACCAAAATTATGTTTACCAGAGTTACGAAATAATTTACCAAAATTATGTTTACCAGAGTTACTAATTAATCACACCAACATCAGAGTTTCTACCAAATTATGTTTACCAGAGTTACTAATTAATCACACCATCATCAGAGTTACGAATTAATTTACCAAAATTATGTTTACCAGAGTAACGAATTAATTCTACCAAAATTATGTTTACCAGAGTTACGAATTAATTCTACCAAAATCATGTGTACCAGAGTTACGAATTAATTACCAAAATTATGTTTACCAGAGTTACAGATTAATTCTACCAACATTATGTTTACCAGAGTTACGAATTAATTCTACCACATCATGTTTACCAGAGTTACGAATTAACGTTAATTGACCGGGTAAAATCGCCACCCAAAAAAGTTTCGAAAATCATGTGATATTTTCAATTAATCATGATAAGTAAAATATTAATTGATTCAGTAAGTGATTTTTTTTTCTTCAATTCTTCAAAATGAAAAGCGATCGTTGCAATCTCGGCAAACCAAGTGATTCTTTTAAAAGCATAAAATCCAATAAACACAATATATTCTAAAAATATATATTAATTGTCATAACTAAATTTCCACTAATAATAAGTGAAAAAAGAATAAAGATCGAAATACACTTTCAGAAGACTATAACTTATTTATTTAAGCAAAAAGTTTTGAATCCAGGATGCAACAAAAAAAAAAACGTAACAACTCTGGTTGCTATATCTCATTCACTTTTAATTCTAAATTCTCGGCGACTAGGGTGACGGTCTTTTATAGAGATGTTAAATTACGAGTGATCCGGTCCTAGGACTTTCTAGGACTGTCTTGCCAAATCCTTAAATCACATGACAATATAATACATTCATAGAATAAGTTCATCCAATCATTTTATTTGTTAAATAATTCGATCCAAGATCTAAATCCTATATAAATAAATTGTTTTCATGTGACTTAAGGTCCAAGTCCTTGAAAGGACCGATTAACATCCCTAGTCTTTTGATTTTTTTCGAATTGTTTAAACAATACAAATTGAATTGAAACTGCATAATCTGGTCATAGCTTGTCATCACGTGATCCAAATCACATGATTTATACCGTTCGATTAGGGTGTCCAAAATTATGCGATGCGATAGGATAGATTATGCGATGTGATAGGGGTCAATTATGCGATGGATGCGAATTATGTGATTTTATATATAAATTTTCTCGATTATGCGATTTTAATAACTCACGTGATGTTTCAGGATTGATTTAAGTTCGTTCATTATCTTCGTCAAATCACCTATCTACCAATCACAATCTGTGCATGTGACCGGATGCCTTTTTTGCTTGATTATGCGAAGCATCCGATTATAATCTTTCATTATCAACATTTTTACTAGAAATGTGTTCTTTGAATCTATATTTCCGATTACAAAACACTTCTAATATTTACTATCTGCTTTCGTATTTACTAACCCAACAAGCTTAATTTTTCTATAATACTAAATTAAAACAAGATCATAACATTAATAATTTTGATAAATTAAAGATTTTAAATAAATGATATGTGTAAGATTCTTTTTTAAAATTAAACTTACGTTGAATACCTTGTTTTTTCTTTAAGT